GAAACCTCCGCCCGAGAGCTGGGTTTAAATGGCTTGGGCACACTCGCAGCCCACCCTGGGGACGGGAAAAGGGCAGGTGTCTGGCAGCAGTTATACAAGGTTTGGGCAAGCCCTGCTCTTTCAGCCCTGATTCTGAGCAGTGCTCGCTGTGACAGTGCTGGAAACTAAATCCAGCCCAAGGCTACAGGTGTTTCTTGAAAATGTTTACAACGGCTGAAAACCAGAGGAAGACAACAGTTTTCAGGAATTGCCACACGGCCTCTTCTGCGAGGAAAACACGACACTTTGCCATCATTCTCAAGGTCCTCAGCTGGGAGCACGACCTGCCAGCAGCACTGCCCTCTCCTACTCTCCCAAAGACACAAAATCACACAGATAGGCTCACTTTCCGTGCTACACACACATTAACACCCGAGCCTTGCTGAAGACAGACAAACACACCACTACCAGCAGCCTTTATCTTAGGGCCAAGGGCTAGCAGTGCATCGGAGAGAGTGCATGGCCACCGAGGCTGCTGCGGGTGCCGAGAACAGGCCTCGCTGCTGCTCAGAGTGCAGCGGGACCACCCGCTGCTTGCTCAAGCAGCGCTTCCTGTTTGCTTCTGGCTGTTCTGAAACAGTACTTGCCCGCTTCGTAACCCTGCCCTCGGAGCCTGGAGCTGCGGCTGGTGGACGAGCGCTTGGCGCTTTTAAAAGAGAGAAAGACAACTAAGGAAGCTTGGAGAGGGCAACACAGAGCAGAGGGGGACAGGAGTGAAAGCACAGGAGGAGTGTGCGCTGGGGGACCTGGGCAGGGAACTGGGGCAGAACAACAGGGCTCACCCAGAAAGGAAGGAAATGGCAGGGAGAAAGGAAAGACGTGAAGGGGAAATAGAGCAACCAACCTTCATGAAAAAGAGGGTGACAGAACAATAAGCACAACGGGCATTTCAAGTTATTTAGGTTTTTTAATCAATTGATGCCAAAATATTATGTAAAACCACATAGTTATACCTTTAGTATCAGAAGCAAGCATAGAAGCAAACAAGGACTAAACGGGAAGGATATATACAAATTAAAGTTGTGCATGTTGTATACAGTCACACAGTATAGAAAGAAAAACCTCTCCCTTTTCCATTCCTCTACACCTATCTAGCACCATTTTCCTTTCTGCTTTTCTACCAACTTGTAGTTATGCTTGATTGCTACACTTCCCCCCTCCACTTTACTGAACTTTCAGACATCTTGTAAACTAGAGTCTAACCAAAAGATGAAAGTGCTGAGATAATAATTAAGGTAAATAAAACCTGATTATACTGAAAAAGTTTCCAACAAACTAGTCATTAATGACTAGACCACCAAGGGGGGGGGGGGGGG